CCATTTGATGGGCTTCTTCCCTACATTTTTTGGTCATATCTTCTCTATCTCCATCCTTCCCACCTCTTCCTACTCAGATGCTTCCTAATCAAAGATATGACTGAGTCATAAGATATGAATAATCTGCTGAACCTTCCAAACTGTGTCACATTGCTGTACATTTCTTTCTGTTGAGGGAACACCCTTCAAGTCCTCATGTCCTATTAGCCACTGGCCAGGGCTCATCTCAAATGTCTTTTCTATGGATCCAACCCAAAGAGCACCATTTCCTTTTTGTTAAAATTTCCTGTTTTGTTTTTTTTTTTTAATTCTGATTCTTGTAGCATCCAACACACAACATGATAATTACCCATTCATATGTCCCTCTTTCTTTTACTAAGATCTCCTTGTGGAATAAGAATGACTTCTCCATCCTTATGTCTCTAAAATTCCTTACCTGTTTACTGGCTATTTGTTCAAGACTATATAAAAGAAGGAATGCATGAATAATTGAATCTACTTAATTTACCCAGAGAATGAACATATAATGAACCTCATCCCATTCCCTACTCGATAGAAATTTAAACATTAGCTTTTAAAAACATTCCATATGGAATCGATTAATATATTCAATATGTCTTGAATTCTGTTTCTTTGATAGTTAACAGACAAGTCCAAGACCACTATTCCTGAACTGAGACAAAACAAATTTCATTCTACCATACATTCATCCTGGTTTCTTCTCTTCAAACATCCTTGACTAACAGCAAGATTTGTAAAGGTCGAAAATTATTGAAATTAATTAAGCAAAGAGCACTTCCTCTCTAAGTTAATTTCACAGTGCCTGGGGTAGGTAGAGTGCATTTTATTTCATTATTAAGTTTCACAACATGGAAGTTTAGGAATTTGGAAACAATCCAAAGCTGAGTACCAGAATTATTGGAGTTGAACAACAGCTAAAAAGAAAAAAAAAAACAAAACAGGAAAACAGAACTATTCGAGTATTATTCGAGTATTCATTGGTTCTATGTTAACAAGGGAATGAAGACAGAGACCAAGATAGAGAAGGAGGAAGCTAATATATGTGATAAAAAAAAATGGAATGAGGTTTCAAATTATTTAGTTCCTTGGGTTGAAGATTTATGCCGTTCTTTGTAAACTAATTTGTATGGCCCCTGATGAGCAAGAGTAGAAATCAGGAGGAGAACTCAAACCTTTGAGGGTCCACATTTTTTTGTGTACACATTTTAATGGATCAAAGAAAAGATAATTTGATTAACAATTTTTACTTTGATTAATAATTAAACAATTTAATCAAAGTCATTGAGTATATTTTGGCTTAATTCAGTCGGACCTTTGAAGGAAATT